AATATGTAATATGTATATATGTGCATATATGTATATATATATACATATGTAATGGGTAGTGCGTAAAGACTGACATGTTTGCAGTAAGGAGACTAGAGATTGGCTAGGGAGGACGGAGAAGGAGTGGATCAGAATTGAAAACTTTCCTCGTACTCATAACTGTCTTTTTAATCTCTGTAGTATCAAAGACTGGTACAATGCCTGACAGAGCATAATCCCTTGTAAAACTTTGTTGAATTATTAGAGTCTGATTATCCATATATAATATAATCTCAATTCTCCCACAGGTACAGAATATGCACTTTAGAAAGGTAGCGGAATAGAGGGTGACTTAGAGGGGAATAAGACTTGTGGCATGGAGACCAGTTAAGATACTAGTGTCATATGTCTAGGCAAAAATAAATGGAACCCTGAAATAAACCAGGATGGTAGGAATGAAGATATGGGAATGTAGAGAAGAAACACTAAGGAGGGAAAGTCTATATGACTCAAGTATAGGGTGAGTGAAAGAGAGGGGCTGTGATGACTCTTGTTCAGGTTTCTTCTGGCTTGGGTGACTGGCTTGTGGCAGTCACTGAGACAAAAGAATGAAAGGAAACGGAACAGGGAGGTAGGGGGGAGGGGCAGTGAGAGAGATGGGGCATGGTGAACTTAGTTTTGGACAAGTTGAGTTTGCAGCATCTATTGAACTTAAAAGAAAATGCACTTAGTAAGGAGGTTGATCTAGGCATGAGCTCAAAACAGAGATAAGATTTGGGAGTCATTAGCATAAGGAATTAGAAGGACAGAAAGCCAAGAGTGAGCCACGGGGACCCCAAATTTAGGGAAGGAGCATAGGAAGAAGAGTACAAAAACCAAGAAAGGATAGACTACAAATGGAGCATGAAGAAATGGAAATCATGTATTGCTAGAGAGGGATGTAAAATTGTAGTGGAGAGACCAAATAGTGGATTTTGTAGGTATTTTATTTGTGCTTATAGTCACATATCCTTTTGATGAGGTTTTGTGATCCAGATGAAGAGAAATCAACATTGACACTCTTCTGTTCTGTGTAATAGCCTTTACAATGTCTTTTGACTTAATCTCTTTTTAAAAAACTCTACTCCCACATGTGAGTTTAAACTCTGGAACTTTCCAAAACATTTTTATTACTAGTCTATAATTTCTGGTACATTTTAGCACATATAATTGCAAAGGCATGATCTAATGTCTGCTACTGCTTTGTATCTTCAATAGCCTTCGTGTTAAAATCCATAGTAGATGAATGATTAAATTGACAAAATCCTTATTATTTTCTGTGATCCATGGACTAGCAGCTTGGTATCCTTGGGAGTTTGTTAGAAATGCAAAATCTTGGCCCACCTCACTTTTGTTAAATCAGACTCAGCATTTTAAATAAGATCTTCAGGTGATTCTCATAGGTACATAACACATACTTCCCAACTAAACAATTAATAAACAAATTATATTTTTCTTATTTCTAGTCCATCTTCAACTTTAGCCCATGTGATATACCTTGTTTAAATTATCTTTCTAAATACTGGTTATTTCAATTCTGCTTTTAAAAAAAGTTTAAAATTAAGTGAGTTGGGTCTGCTTGGATTACAAAGCCTTTCAAAATCTGGCCTTAAATTTCTACCAAATTGACCTCTATTATCCTTCTTCCTGAACCTCCTGCTTTAATCAGTCTAGCCTGACCCGAGTAGCTGTTTATTTCTACTTCTCTACTCCATTTTATTCTTCTATTTTTTGTTCATTCCTCATTTCCTACTCAACACACTTTCTTTTTCTAACTATACAAATTCTATTCATTCTTCATGTTTTAGCTAAAATTGTACCTAACCACTAAACCTAATCACTCTAGCACATAGTGATGATTCTCTTCTGACATATTTATAGTTATTATTTTGTCTTCATAATGATAGCAAAGAATTGTAGATTGTTAATTTCAAGAGTTAATCCCATTTCACCTCTGCCACTAACTTGTATAATGCTAGGCAAGTTATTTAATATCTCTGAGTTTCAAAATTTGTCTTTTTAAAAAAAACTACCAGGAACCCCAACAGTATTGTGTTCCACACGTTGTGAGAAACTATCTTATGAAATATATCTTAATGTACATAAAATATTTATACATGAATACTTTTAAAATACAGTTGTTAATTCTCAGGTATCTGAAGCACCCTATCTATAATCTTCACTATACTCTAGTTTTAAATAAAATGTACAATAAGCAAAGGCAAAATTTAGCCCAATTTAATCCAAGTAAGTTATAGAGTCTTAATCTTCAATTTTAACATTTATCATTAAAGTTATGGTTGGTGATAAGAATAAGAGTGGAGAAGTAGAATCATAGAATTGAAAACTTGACACCAGCCTTTTTTTAAATATAAGAATAGAGCTCTTACTTCCTACTTTTATCTGTCATAGCTGAGCAGGGGTTCTGGGCTTGCTGACATTCTTGAGCTATTTCTCTTCCTGCTTTACACAAAGTGTAGTTTCTCCCATGACCCTCTTGTTTCCCTGGAGAGCTTCACAGAGAGGCTTCTGTATAACATTTGCTTTCATTAGCAAAAGGCTACATAGGAATGAGAAGAATGAAGAGGGAGGCAACCTTCACAGAGTATCAACAAGCTGAGATTAAATGTACCTTGTTCTCTTCGCTAAACTCCCAGCATAGATTTCCATTAGAACAGTTATAAAATCTTTCCACCCACATTCCACCTCTGCATTCTAAACCATTTACACGGGCCTCTTCAATATAGCACTCTAAGACTGAGAGAGTCTAGATTTGCATTGTTGTATTTTTAAAAATTGTTCAGTTTTATGGAAGATATTTCCATCGGAGAAAAGGATATACACTAGAGATTTGCATATTCTCACAATTGCCTATATCTTGCTTATTATTTTATTGTTCTTTATATGCTGTTTTCAAAGTACATTTTGGAGTTATATGTAATATCGATACTAATTATTAGTAAATGTCTCTCATAAATCAACAGTTTGGGCCCCAGACAACTAAAATTATTAGCATATCAACATGAGGCTTTCAATGGTGTACTGACAGCATATAGAGTATATCAAGTAAGCATTTTTTTTTTAAAGATTTTTATTTATTTATTCATAGACACAGAGAGAGAGAGGCAGAGACACAGGCAGAGGGAGAAGCAGGCTCCATGCAGGGAGCCCGATGTGGGACTCGATCCCGGGTCTCCAGGATCACACCCCAGGCTGCAGGCGGCGCCAAACCGCTGCGCCACCAGGGCTGCCCTCAAGTAAGCATTTTTTTAAATACAAAAGTACAAAGATTGGAGGAGTGGACAGAATTATAGTCCAGAACAGCTTAAGGCAAAAGATGAAAAAAAAAACAAAAACAAAAAAACCCCACACAAACAAGCTTCTTTTACCTTATAATATTTCTTAGAGTTCATTAATGCACTTGAAGGCAGGGCCAGAGACAGTTGTGGATGGGAAACAAATCCTAAACGATCTGGTGAGTTGTCCTCTAGAATTTCAGGACCTGCTCTGTGCTTTTGGAACTCTTGGGTTCCTCTTATCTCTTTTGGGAAGTTAATTTTTGTCCTCTTTAAAGGTGTATCTACATCAGGATAACTTTTAGGTTTATATGAAAGGACAAGTTATTGGTCAAGCCCAACTTCAAATAACCACTCCACCCCCCCCCTTTTTTTTCCCCAGTGGGTTTTTTCTATTCCCTTCTAAGGGCTAGGGAACCTGGGTCAGGGTGATACTAAGTAACTTGTGACACTGTCTTCACCAGCATGGGTTCTAAGTTGGCTGGCTACTTAGCTATGACCTTCTCTAGAACTAAGCATCCAAATAAATACAAATGGTGAAGATTTAAAAAGTAATGGCATTTGAAAATATGTCTAAATAGCCTCTATTTCAATATCCTCGAGAAAGAAAAAAAAACAGGAGGAAAGAAGAGAACTTTAAAAAGTGAAAGAACATAAAAGCTACTCCTTTTCATGTTATTGGTAGGATGCTGTGTCCAAGGTTTGCATTATGTTGTGTCTAGGTTGAGCTTAAGCTGGGGTATAGGTGTCAGAGCAGATCTTGTGAAATGGTAAGTAAGGCAGAGCCTCTTCAAAAGCACATTTGCTGGAAAATTCCTACCTTGCTCTGGGGAAGAAGGATTCAGACAGACTGAACTTTACTTAGTTACAAAGTAACTAAGTGATACAAAGTGATAAAGGAAAGGGGCAATTATGGGCAGCAGATACATCATGCTTCACTCAGATTTGTCTCCTACCTCTGTCTCCACCAGGCTGACCTTTGAGGATGACTAAAAGCAGGCATGCCTCTTGTGAACTGGAAATCCTGGTGAGAGAGGGCTGAGTAGTGCTACATGGTAGTGGGATGCTCAGAAAGAGCAGACTTGCTTTTGATCACATGTAAAAACCCTGCTGGAAGTTCGTAGAAATCCTTGGGGAATTTAGCAGAGGGCTGAATTAATTTAGAATATAGAGTAACATGCTCTTAGATATGGGCAATTCTAGGCAATGTGCCTCCCTTTGTACTTATAAGTGGATGAAGCCTAGAGTAACTTGGGTTACATAAGATACCAAAAAATCAATATAAAAATCTTAGGAAACAATTGTACTTAAATTGCAAAGGAGCAGTTAGTGTTAATTTTAACATTCTTTATCTTCTTATTCATATCTTTCCTGCCTTTCTTGAGATAAGTGAGTGTAAACAGGAATAATACTATCACCATTAATTCCATTAGAATAAAGCCAATGCAAACAAAAAAGATCCTTGTAAACTTAACATACTCATAGAAGAGCAAAAATATTTCTCCTGTTGTAATAGACAATATCTATCCCAAAAGGACATAGACGTGTTCATAGGCTTCTGGAGAATGAGATGAGTGAAAATTATGGTATTAATTTTTTGTCTCTTTAGCAACAGTTCTACCTAGTTAGTACTCCCAAAATTCAAATGTGTACAATAACAACTTCCAAATAAAATCCAATACTTACTTGTCTCCCACAATTCCCAAGTTGATTGTGGGGTAACCATGTTCCTGAATTGTTGCTAAGAGGGTTGAACGATTGCTGTCTCGAATCTTTCCTGGTAAGAGGTCATCTTCAGGATTTAGCAGCTACAAAGCCAAAAAAACCACCACAAATTATTCTCTTAGGATAATATTGACTATGGTTAATGGAAAAGAAATAGATCTAGTAAGCAGAGTTTACCTTACCTAACACCTACAACAATATCTGGAACATAAAAGATACATGCCCAAGAGATCTCTGAATAAATATTGAGAGTACAGGAGATTGAAAAAAATGTTCCTCCAGAATTAAAAAGCATGCAGAAATTTAAATGGTGACTAAACAGCAGGCCAAATATCATACCTGCTTTGGATACAATTTGACAATAATGCTCTGTAGATTGGCCTTCCCAGTGGTTGTTCACCACGGTAAACTAAATAAAGTAACTTCCTTTTTCCCTTCCAATAATATTTTCCAGTTTGTCTTTCAGTGAGAATATCTGAGGTAGAGATTATGTGACATGATATTCTCAAGTATGAAGAGAAGGATTGTTTATATATTTTGTCTCCAGCTTTTTTATCTTTTCTGAAGTGAGATCAACAGTACCAAAGAAGTCAAACTTATTTGAAGAAGAGGGAGACAGGCGTCTTGTCTCTCTATTAGAAAATTTAAACAAGTAATACTTAACTAGATATATGCACAATTATTCCATGACTCTGAATTGAGTCACTCTTTAGAGATTTAATATCTATCATTATGTGTCTATGAAAAAAGTTATTAGAAGCTTATTCTATGTTAGGATGTTCCAGTGAGGCAGTGTGGTATATAGTAGGAACAGCTTGGGATTCAGACAAGATTCAAATTCAAGTTACCCAAACACATTACCCCTAATGTTCTCATTTATAACATATAGTAATAGTAACTACCTTGAAAAGTAGTTGTTAGGATTGACTGAGGTAACGAACACTTAGTTAATATGGGTAAATATATAATAAATATGATTCTCTTCCTAAAAAGCACTTGTTTTACCAATTGCTCTCATATTGGTAAATGCTATAATAGATGCTAGATGCTATAATAGATGGAATTATAGTCTATGGTGTGAATGCAGATTTAGATTAGATTATAAAATACTTAAGAGGTAGGGGTCCTTAACACATGCAGACACACCAACATACAACTTTAATTTATACATCAATTTCAAGATGGACTTTGATTTCAGAAATATAAAATGAAAAAAAAAGTACATATTGGAAGTGAGGAAATCTGGAAAATTATCTTAGGAGGTTGAAGGCAAGCCTGCACCTTTCAAATACTTAGACTGTTAATATGACTAATACCCAAGGCTTCATATCTCAGTTCTCCCAAACAATAACTGCTAGCCCCTTCAATCTTCCTTCTGATTCATTGGTGATACCAATGAGTGGCAGGCCCTTTGGCTTTACATTGGAAAAGTAGTAGCTTTGCAACCAACTGTCCCCTTAAAATAATCTTAATCAGTGTCACTGAGAGTCTTCCTTTCAAATACTGCATTAATTTAACTTAATCAGATGCCATGTGACATTGCAACTCACTTTCATCCTTAGTCACTGGCAGCACTTAGAAAATTGCTATTGCAGTGGTAATATAGATTAATTTTCTGATCTTAATTAACACACAGTTATTGAAGTCATTATAACTTTATAAAGGCCAAGGCTTACAGCTCTTGAACTCCATTAATTAGACAAGTTGCTTCAGAAAGAAAACTGTGTGGTTATATAATTTTTTTTCACAAAAGGGTACCACCAACTAAATAATAGTCCCTGTTACTAAGGTGTTTTCTTTGCCATTCACAAGTTCCTTTCTGTTATTTTGCTGCAAACAGTTCTAGAATTAACAGAACAGTTAAAGATCATTGGACAACTGGTTATTTATCTGTAAAATTGACATAACTAAATAATATCTGGTTAAATGAAGGTGTGGGATTTACAATGCATTTTAAATATTTTCAAAGCAAATAAACAATTGAATGGGAGTATAAGTCCGAATATAGGATAGATTCACAATATTTCCTTTTAAAACTTAATTGTATTTTCTGGTATCATATACTTCTAGTCATCTTTGAAATGATACCTGAAACTTGTCACAGTTAAAATACAAAAGAAAGAAAAATACAAAATAAAATAACACATAACTCATTATCTCCATACCTTGTTACTTTCCTGTGTATCATGTATTAAATTTCAATTTCTTGTTTCTGTTCTTATCAATGGTGCCACTGTCTTTCCAGCTTTCACAAATTTAACTTTTGATTCTTTTAATTTCCCTTTCTAGTCCACTATCTTCCCAAAGATCACAATCCTTAAGAACATCCTAATGTATCTCTTCCTTGACCCTATGTTTTCAATCACTATCTTACCACAGCCTCTCCTCCATTTCAGACATTCAGCATGTCTCAATGTTTGCAAATCCTTGTAATTGGCTATCACACCTACAAACTCTTTCCTCCTGAGAAATAAAACAGAAACACCAATTTGCAAAACTACTACTTGCATAATAGATAAACTATGAAATCAAGACATGTAACTCAAACAACTATCTTAAAGTCAAATTGCTTTAATACAGGGCAGCCTGCGTGGCTCAGCGGTTTACCGCTGCCTTCAACCCAGGGCCTGATCCTGGAGACCCCAGATCAAGTCCCACGTCCGGCTCCCTGCATGGAGCCAGCTTCTCCCTCTGCCTGTGTCTCTGCCCTTCTCTCTCTTTGTGTCTCTCGTGAATAAATAAATAAAATCTTTAAAAAAATTTTGCCTTAATACAAACTTGTTTAGACTTATATGCTCCAAGGCCATGGACAAATTGAGACCATGATAACTCCACATGGACTCATGTGCTCCAAAGATAAGAGTGTTTCAGCAACTCATCTATTTTGTAAATCTGATTAGTCTCTGCCTAGACCTTACTTATTAACTGCTACCTTAAAATCACTCCCAATTCTCATGACCAACCTCAGTTCTCAGAATCCTGTAACTATCCTTCTATAATTTCTTCCTTTTGGGACACTACTGGGAATGTGCCACAGTGATGCTCTCCCTTGCTCAGAAACTTTAATATATACTGCTTTGCATGATCAATAGGTTTCCCTGGTGGTCATTGTATTAAGACTTTTCATAGTCATGGGGTCCCACCAAAACTTAGGCAAGACCTCTTGCTAACAGTATTCTCATGTTGGTTACATTGCACTTCATGAAGGTCTCTTAAGCCTCTTTGCTCTGGAGATTCTTTGCCTGTAAATCTAGTGCTTACTTAAGGTCTAATTCTTTTTTTGTTGAGCTCCCAAAACTAGCTGATATTTATTTTGTTTTTTGTAAGAATAAGGTTCCAATGACTATTTGGTTATCAGATCAAATTTGTTTCAATTGTTTTCCTTGTGAAGGTGCTAAAACATTCATTTGATGCTAATCATTTTATTTGTCAGCAAAAAAGATGTAGCTTTTTTGGCTACATTGTTGTGTGTCTGTAAGAATTTTTCTTTATGTGTGAGAAATTGGCTTTGGAAGAGATCTCTACCCATTTCTGCTAATTTTTAGGGTTAGCTATTAGGGATTCAACCTTAGTGGAAAGGACTTTAAACATAACATATAAGCAATATTTTCCCATTTGACTGATTTTAGCTAATGAATTCCTGGGTTCATCTAATAATAAACTTGTGCCACCTCTTGGCATAACTCTGGCTTTTTAAATTTTTTTTTTTGCATTTATCTATCTAAAAAGCATAAATTCAAGGTGCTTCGGTGGCTCAGTCAGTTCAGTGTCTGACTCTTGCTTTTGGATGTCTTGATCTCACAATCACGAACGTGAGCCCTGTGCTGGGCTCCACACTGGGTGTGGAGCCTACTTAAAAATAAATAAATAAATAAAAAGCATAAATTCATCAAGAACAATCTGTAATTCCAGTGGTCATTTTGGAGTACATAAGACATGACCACATTTATCTACTTAAAAGCACGTTGAGAACAAAAGGGAATACAATTATGTATATTCAATGATTAGTATTTTTATTGTTATGCCAAGCTTCAAAATGAAGCTTAAATAAAAATGTAAAAAATTTAAAATTGTTTTGTTCAACCCTTACTAGGTTCTCTCTCTCCTTTCTAAAAGAGAAATCACTTACCTTATTTTAAGAAACATCCTTCTTTGTTTCTATTCTTCAGAGATTTAATGCTATTTTTTAAAAAGATTTTATTTATTTATTCATGGGAGACACACAGAGAGAGGCAGAGACATAGGCAGAGGGAGAAGCAGGCTCCCTGTGGGGAGCCTGATGTGGGACTCAATCCCAGGATGCCTGGATCATGACCTGAGCCAAAGGCAGATGCTCAATCACTGAGCCACCCAGGTGCCCCATTCCTATGGTCTTGATTGAATTGCGAAAGGTCCTAAGATTAGTTATAACGACTGTCCTTTTTTTATCTTTTGAAATGGGTTTGAAATGCTTAGTCTGCATCTAAGACTTTTTCCCTCTTTGTAAAGGGAAAATAATCAGACTTTTATAGTGGTCACTAACTCTTTTCATATACCTTGCAAGCAGCTCCCTCATACATTCCTACTTTTCTTTCTCTCTTTTCTAAAAAACATAATTAATTAATTGATCAAAAACCAATTCTAGTCATTATGAACACAAGTTAGGAATACTCAGATTAAAAAAACAAAACAAAAGAACACTCAAAGTCCAGATAAACAGATCTAACACAAAGAGAGGGGAGAAAAGTCAGATTATAAACTCTAATGGAGCATGTTCTTTATTCTAAATAGCTTTTGATTAAACTCTGGGAAAAAAAGTTTTCTTTTTCTTTTTTTTTATTTTTACAATTTTATTTATTCATTCATGAAAGACACATAGAGAGGCAGAGACATAGGCAGAGGGAGAAGCAGGCTCCATGTAGGAAGCCTGATGTGGGACTGATCGTGGGACTCGGGGATCATGCCCTGAGCCAAAGGCAGACACTCAACCACTGAGCCACCCTGGCATCCTGCAGAAAAAAAGTTTTAATTGAGAGTTAAACTAATTGTCTTGGTTACTGGATTATAAGAAAGATAAAAGAACATTCAGAACTTTCAAACACTA